ACCTAATTTTAATATTGATTTATGTTATAATGATTTAAAATGTTAAATGGATATAATATAATAATAGATGTTATATTGCATGTAATACATCCGCACTTAACATCTAATAAGTACTCAAATATGCAAATTTATATTACATTTCTTTTGAAATATTTTAACTAATGTAACTTTCTTTTCTATTTTCACTTTCTCCTCTTATTCTCCCCTTTCTGTTAAATTGCTTGTACTTGTAAAATTAACATGTTAAAAAAAAACACAGAAAAAACCCCAGAAAGTCTCCATCTGTGTGAGTAAAAAACGCCCTTTCACCACTTTTGAAATCAAACTGGAAATAAGACAAAAGCGAGAAACGTTCTTCCTTTTTTGGCTATCATCTGCCACAGACGAAAATCTGAAATGCTCTGTTGTAATGCTGGTAGAGTATGAATGTGCAGCTTGCAACATTTCCTCATACTGTAGTGTTTTACAAATGTCATTGCTTCCTTCATGTCAGCCGGGGCCATGTTATTTCCTTTTTAAATTTGTACTATCTAGAATGACAACACGAATATGGCTAGGAATATTTTTGGGAATAAATTAACTTCTTAGAAAAGATATTCAGAAGAATTTGGTTCAGTTCTTTATATCTTGACAAAATTGTTGGCCATGAGGGCCCTCTTGGTTTCTTTCCAGGTGTTGGATAATAGTTACTTTAAAATGAAGTACAATACAAAAAAAATGACACCACTACTGTCTGGCATGAGTACATGTTATAATGACTCATATTTTTAAAATGCAAATCCAACTGTTATACAGGTTTTTCAAAGGATTTGAAGTTTTATAACTTTATTAGTCTCATCTTAAAGCAAGGCAGACAAGAGGTGGGAATTGCAGGTCATAGTATTTTTTAAATTGTTTTTGGCCTTCAGAATTGTAAGGCATGGTGGTAATGACACCAGAAGATGGAGAGGCTCTTTGGGAGAGGCTGTCTTTATTCAAAATATGTTTAATACATCTATTTGTGACATATTTTATCAAAATATTTTTTGTGTGAACAATTGGCCACTGAATTTCCTGCATGTAAACTTGTGGGAGAGCAGAAATATTGGTTATGTACAGCGCAGATTTTGTGGGTTTCCTCATCTTCGTAGTAAAACATGTACTGAACATATTCTGTGGCTTTTAATCCAGTCTGAGCAAGAAGGCGATTATTTGTCTAATTATAAATTATTAATATAAATATAAATTTCATTGGCTTTTTTGACATAGCAGCACACTGCTGCTTTATGCTTAATTTATGGCCTACTAGAATGCCCAAGTCCTTCTCATAGGTACAAGTAGTCCTCAACTTACAACAGTTTACTTAATGGCTGTTAAAAGTTACAATGGTACTGAAAAAAGTGACTTAAGACCATTTTTCATACTTATAACTGTTGCCACATCCCCATGATTGCGTGATCAGAATTTGGACTCTTGGCAACTGGCTCATATTTAGGGATGCAATGTCCCAGGGTCATGTGATAATCTTTTGTGACCTTAAGTGAAGCCAGATTCACTTAACAACCATGCTACTAACTTAACAACTGCAGTGATTCACTTCACAACTGATTCACTTAACACCTGTGGCAAGAAAGATCATGAAATGTGGCAAAATTCATTTAACAAATGTATAATTTAGCAACAATTTTGGGTCAATTGTGGTCGTACATTGAGGACTACCTGTACTAATGCCAAACCAACTCCTATTTTGTATCTGTACATTTAGTTTTTCCTGCTTAAATGCAGAACCTTACATTTTTTCTCACCAAACTGCTTTTTGTTGTATAGGCCCTAATATTCAAGTCTGTCAACATCCCTTTGAATCTTGTGCCCATCTTTTGGAATGCCAGCAATCCCCTCCTCCCCCAGCTTTATGTTGTACAAATTTGTTCAGCATCCCTACTATACACTCATTTAAATCATTTATAAAAATGTTGAAGAGTATTTGGCTTAGGGCACAACCATTAGGTATTCCTAATGAGAAGGTAGTCCTTCTCTTTGTTAGACTAGATCAGTGGTGGTTTTCTGCTGGTTTGCACCGGCTTGGGAGAACCAGATGTTGAAATTTACCGAGCTAGTGAGAGAAGGTTCCACCGGTGGACCCCGAAGTAAGTTCTGGAACGCCTGCCCCATCCGTCTCCCGGTGCTCAGAAAAGTGTTGTGCGTGGAGGTCCCTTACTGGCGGGCAGGCATCCTAGAACCTGCCTGCCAGCAAAGGACTTAAACGGAATCACTTTTCTGAGCACAGGGAGACAGACAGTAGTTTGCACCGTCTGTCTCCCCATGCTCAGAAAAGCACTGTGTGTGGAGGTCCCTTACTGGCGGGCAGGCATCCTAGAACCTGCCTGCCAGCAAAGGACTTAAAGGGAATTGCTTTTCTGAGCTCCAGGGGACAGACAGTAGTTTGCGCCGTCTGTCTCCCCGTGCTCAGAAAAGTGCTGTCCGGGGAGGTCCCTTACTGGCGGGCAGGCATCCTAGAACCTGCCTGCTAGTGCCATGCAAACTTCTCCAGTCCGCTGCATCCGAGCTGGTGAAGCGCCCACAACCGCCCGCCCGTCACCAGGGAGACAGCCTGTGCAGGTGAGCCACACAGTTGCACCGATCGTACGAGCACTCCACCAGCTCGGGTGCAGCTGGACCAGATAAGTTTCTCTTCTCAGAAATGTCTTCTCAGCGAAGCTGTGGCAGCCTGCCTGTCCCTTTCAGGTGGGTCCCCAGGAGGGAGGAGGCCAGGGGGAGCATAAAGGGAACCATAGCTCCTCTGTGAATGGAGGGAGAGGAAAAAAGTTGGGATTCTACCTGCTGCAGCCTTTAAATGGCAGAGAGAAGCCAAACTCCCTCCCC